AACGCAGGGCTTAGGCTAGATTGGAAAGCGAAACAGGTGATGTGGAAAGAGATGACAAGCTATTGTGCCATGCCATGAAACCTGCATGGATCTGAACCTGTAAATCACCAAGAACTGATCTAGATTAGAAGGCAATACCTTTAAAGTAATCCTAATTAGTAAATTCCATTTCAGATTAGGAATAGAGTAGATTATAGGTTTCATACATTAATGGGCTGACGGAAGTGGATCGAGGGAGAAAGTTGATGTCTTTTACTCCACAGAAGTCCTTCTCCAGGTTATTACTTGCTCTAGGAAGAATTAAACAGCAGTTTCTTTTACAGGACAAAAACCATTTTAGGACTTTTGGGGGCAGAAATGGTGCTGAGACAGAAATAACTATTCTTTTCTCTGCTGCCATCCAAATTAAAGTATCGTAGAAGAAGCCTTTTATGCTTGTACTGTTGGTCCAGTTGCAGATGCAGTCAAGCATTTCTCAATTTGTTTTGCTAATCTAGGAGCTAGAGCCTTGAACGGGGACTTTAACTATGAAAAGCAGCCCTTTAACCTTGATTATGCTATCCTTGCTTTTTATTTTAACATCCTGAGGTTGTTGTTGTTTTTTTTTTAAATATATCCTTTTTTCCTGGAATGTTTTTTTCCCCCTGTTAATCACATCCTTGATGTGTAATTCTACTCTGACTGGGATATTCCAATGAAGCCGTCTTTGCACGCCATGTTTTTCTCCAGGAGTATAAATAGCAGTGTGAGAACCTCCTGTGTTAATTTTATGATTCTTTCGCTGATGTGTAGCTTTCGTTTCAGTTTTGATGAGTAGGTCAGAGCAAATGTCAGTGAGGTGACCACTTGAAAGGAAGTGTCGCTAGTGACTGATTCCCTTGGAGGTTGGGTACAGGAAATGACAGTAATGAAACAAAGCGTACATGGATTCTTTATTTGGGAAGAATTAACAGAGACAATGAAATCTTACTGCTTAACATCCTATGTGATTTTGAAACCTTCCTTCTGATTCCATGGCCTTCAATTTCCTGATCCATATTCTCCCCCAAAATAAGAATGGATTTGTATGCACTGTAGGATAATATCATTTGTGTGGTTTTAGTTTACCAAACTCTGTGAACCCGGCCAGTGTGGTTTGCGTATGATGGTTAATGGCTTACTGTTATGAATAGGCTGGAACACAATGGCTTTTTCAAGAAAATGAAACTAACAGGAATTTTCATGGTGTGTGAATTCAGCCATTGTTTGCTCAGACACGGTTTAAACCACAATTGTCTGACTTTGTGCAATACATTAGGCCATAAGCCATAGTGCTTGAGTTCACAGCATGTGAAGCAAAACCATATTATATGAATTAAACATTCATATTCAGCTGTAGTTATTCCTGCAGCAAAATCATCCAGTTATTCGATTGAAAGAAAGGGAGAGGGTGGCAGAAAAAAGAGAGGATTTGGGGGGTGGGGGGGGAAAAGGAACAACATAAAAATAGTTCAGATAAGCATAGCTCACCAAACTTCTTGCTAAATGAAAATGTAGAGATATTTCATGTAACTTAAAGAGCGATGAGGAAATGTGTTTGTTTAAACACGTTTCAGCTTCGTTTATAGTCTTGCAATAGAGGCTCAGCAAGTCATTCTCAAGGCAAAATGCTACAGTAGGAATTTTTTTCCTACCTGGTTTCTTAACCCACCAACCTCTCTCTGTTGTCCCTCTCACTTTTTCTGAGAGCAACAAAGAAAGGCTGTAGCAAATCCTTCCTGAACCTGAAGCATTTCAGATGCATTGCACAAAATGGCTGGGGTTTGGGGAAATTGTAATACAGGCTCAGAGGAGATTTGGCTTTTGAAATCTGCAATATACCAAGTTAGGGAATGTTACGCTCAGAGCCTGTAAGGTTGGAGGGATGATGATTTCAGTACTATCCCCCATGTGATTGGTTCAATTCCGTGAGCGAGAGATCTGAGCCCCTGCAGACCCAAACAATGATCCAATGCTGATTTCTTCCCTCACTTAAAGCAATTGGTTTCTCTGGTTGACTCCCCAGCACTGAAACGAGGATGGAAAGATCTCACTTTTAGGGTTTCTTTACGTGCCTTTAAACATAGCAGTTGATTGCAATTGATTGATATTAATTTTTATCCTAATGGAATAGAAGGCCAACTCTTTACAGCTTCATTATTCTTGCCATGGGTTATCCAGTTAACTCACAACTTTTGGAGTTTTCATGTGCAATAGTCCGATAAAAGCTGACTAGTACTTGTGATTGATAAATCTGTATCATGTAAATACAATTTTAAGTTCCTACATCATGCTGAAGCATTAATGTAGTGTTAATTGGTGTGCTGGCCTAAACTGATGGGCAAACCAAACTGCTTCACTAAAGTATTAGTTTAATATGGTGTATAAACAAATCATAATGAAGAGAATTATCACTTAGTACAGGTAGTCCTCGACTTACAGCAGTTCATTTAGTGACCATTCAAAATTACAACAGCACTGAAAAAAGTAACCATTTTTCACAGATGCGACTTTTGCAGCATCCCCATGATCATGTGATCAAGATTCACATGCTTGGCAACTGACTCATACTTATGACCATTGCTGTGTCCCAAGGTCATGCGATTTTGCCACCTTTTGATGAAGCAAAATCAATGGGGAAGCCAGATTCACTTAAGAACTGTCTTGCTAACTTAACCACTGCAGTGATTCACTTAACAACTGTGGCAAGAAAGGTCTTAAAATGGGACAATAGTCACTTGACAAATGTCTCACTTAACAACAGAACTTTTGGGCTCAATTGTGGTCTTAAGTTGGGGACTACCTGAAGTGTTACATGATTGACTTCATTTAGAAGAAAGACCCCAAACTCAACTTTTTGCTTTGCTAAGTATAGTCTGAATTTACACAACCCACTAAACCAGCGGTCAACAACTGGTGGTCCTTGGACCACTGGTGGTCTGCAAGAAAATTTTGGTGGTCCGCAGAAAAATTATTTGCAGTTTTTATATTGCACTAAATCAGGGGTCTTCGAACTACAGCCCTGGGCTGGATACATACAGCGAGTATTTGTGTTGCTGCAGAGTCTTCCCCCTTTGGGGGCCTTTTTGTGTGGGTTGGAGGGGGGCAGAAATTCCAACTCGGGGTCTGCTTCAGGCTCCTGATGCGGGGCTTTGGGCGAAGGCTGGAGGAAAGCGCTGCTGGTGGCAAAGAGCTGGAGGGCCTTGTTACAGTGGAACTGCCTCATGGCCTGGAATTGGCTGACCATCTCAGCCCGCTGAGCCTCCAGGTACCAGTACCTGGCCTTGAACTCCCGCAGGTCTTCCCTCTGCTTGGAAAGCCTATGCTCATATGCTTGGAAAGCACCTCAGTGAGGTGCTTCTGCTGAGCCTCCTTCTCGGCCAGAACCAATTTGAACTGAGCAATCTGTTTTGCCAACTCTTTCTCATGGTGGCTGCTTAGCTCCAACAATTGCTTCCTGTTGGGGCCCTAAGGAGCCCAGGTGAGCAGGCGAGGAGTGGCGGGGAGGGGAGGGGCGAGTAGTGGCCAGTGAGGTGCCCCTCGACACGAGTGACATCGAGTTGGCCATGCCCATCCAGTCACATGCCCATCTAGCCAGTCATTAGGCAGATCATATTAGTGGTCTGCGGGATTTAAAGTTATGAATTTAGTGGTCCCTGAGGTCCGAAAGGTTGGTGACCCCTGCACTAAACTATGGTTTTCATACATTAATTGGGTTCATACAATACTTTTAACTACCAGTACTGTAAAACCAACATGACCCACATTATGCCTTAGTGAGATATAAATGCATCAAATTATAGTTTATTCAACAAATCTTCACCATATCTATTGAAATAGTTCTTTCTACCAGTCATTGTGTACCAAAGGGTACAGTGGTACAAAAATTGTATCACTTTAATTGTACAAATTGAATTTAGAATGCCCTTCCCAGTAAACTGCAGTCTCTTTCCTAACATTTAATAAGAGATGGCAGTTAAAAATTAAATTAAAAAAATAGTGTATCTCAGCACTCTCTAGACTCGTGTTTGGTTTGATTTGATTCTAAAGCAGAATTAAAACTTAAGAATTCATTATTATTCCTGCAGTGCAGGAATATGGACCATCCATTTTTAAAAATAATAATACAAGCAGTCCTTGTTTTAACAACCAGAATTGGGTCCGGCAACTCGGTTTTTAAACGAAGTGGTTGTTGCTAAAGTGAAACTTGCTTACGATCTTACTGCAGCTTTCCTTTGCTTTACAGGTCATAAATATGAGGAAAAGTTACTTTTTCCTCATTTTAACTGTAAATGGTCATTACTGGAAATGGTGATTGAACGCGGTCTACCTGTAAGCAACATATTCCAAGTCATATCAATGGGAAGGTTCTGAATAAATTCTGATTAAAATTATCAGGCCTTTAATCACAACTCTCTTGGTCGGCTGACCCTGAGCGAGCTTCAATTCAGACTACTGCCCCCATGTTGTATTTCAAGCCTTGTGAGCAAAGCCTGCCGAACTTCCCGGCCTTGCTTTTTAGGCCACAGAATATCATACCTGATCTTGCACTTTCAAATCTTAACTCCCTGCCCATTACCTCGAAGTAACCACGAGAGCAGCTTTAGAAACTATCCTCTTTCCGTATCTGGGGGAAAAAGAAAAAAAAGCTGCCAAAGCGCTTCGAACAGAGTCGTCGCCAATCGCGGGGCGCGTTCCCACATTTCCCGCAAAAGTTAAACTCGGGTTGTGAAAGTAGCGTTTGAATTCGGTTGAATTAGATCGGCGTCCTTTTGACTCTCACGTTTGGGAAGGAGTCGAGCTCAGGGGAGGCCGGCGCTTCGCTCCCGAGCGCCAGATGGAGCACTTGAACAGCAAACTTTCCGAGGGCTCTGCCATTGGTCGAGGTTGGGCCAATCGCGAGCGCCCTCGGCAAACAATGCAACTTTCTCCCCCCCTGCTCAGTGCGGGTTCCTTTCTTTCTATTTTTTTCCCTCCTCCTCTTTTTTTTTTCCCCCTCCTTCCCCTGCTTTTTCTTCATTTCCTTTTCTGTTGTTCCCTGTTCGCGCGGTCCTCCTCCGGCGCCTTGGTTCCGATCGGCTGCGCGGGTGGGGAGGAGAAACGACGCGGGGGCCGGGCGCAGGTGGATCCGCCTGGAGTGGCGTTAGCGGCTGTTGCTTCTTGAGTGATGGAGCTGGCAGGGATTGCCGAGCCTCGCCGCTGATCTCTATAGCGCCCGCGAGGAGGATTGCCCCCCCCCCCAAAAAAAAATCATGGCTCGCTGCCCTTCTTGACCCGTGGCGTGTGAACCCAGCAAAGAAGCTTAACGGATCTCTCCTGCGCGCTCCCCACCCGAGGGGAGGCAGCAGCTGGGAGGAGGGTCCACCCATGCCAGGACTGCACCCAGCGTTGGGCACCGCCGCTAAAACGAGCAACAGCGGTAGCAGCTCCTCCGGCGCTCACGACTCCGATTCTCTTTTCTCCTCCCCAGATGGAATTAAAGGGCGAACGGCAGAGGAGAAGGGCGTGAGCCTGGCCGAGAAGAGCGGCGCCTCTAGCCAAGGTAAGAGCCGACTCGAGCCGGCGGCGGATCCCTCCTTGGGGGAACGATGACAGCAACCCGCTGCGAAGGGAAACGGCGACTGGTGTAGGAAAGAAAAGACTGAGCCCAAACGGGGGCGGGAGGGGGCTCCCCTTTCCTGCCTTTCCTGCGCCTCGTGACTCGCCCAGGAAAAAAGGGGTGGTGGTGGGATTGAGTTTTTCTTTCTCCGAGGACGGGAACGGGGCAAGGCCTCGAAACGGCTCAGAAAGCAAAGCAGCCTAGAAAAGCGGAGTGGGGCGGGGGTAGGTAGATGGAAGCCCCTTTGGGCTGGTTAGAGACCGAAGGCTGAAGCCCCCCCCAAATTTTGCGTGTTTTCTGGAACCCGCAGGAATCGCTTTTCAGTTCGGTGGGACTTCACTTTCCACGAAGAACCGAAGCGATTGGAATGCCGGTGGCTCGAATCTGTTGCTCAGCCATCCATCCATCCCCAGCGGTGAAGGAATGGGATATGCTGGTGGGGGGGGATGATGGAAGCTGGTAGTTCGTCCACCTCTGGAATCTGCCCCAGTTGAGGGAGGCTGTGATAATCCCTTTCTTTTCCTTTCACCCCACCCTATCCTACCCTCTGCCTAGCCATCTATAATGCAAACACATAGTATTGCCTTCTGTCCCTGTAAGAGGGTCTGGTGGGTGTTCCTTTTCAGCTAAATTTAATTGACTTGTTCTGGTCCAGGAAATCCAAGCAATATCACGCTTTAGTTTTACTTTGTTGCATAAAACTTGACTCACTGGCCCCAGCCGTCTGAAACTCTTATGTTGATTTCATGCATTAGCATTTATATTATACTTTAAAGAGTTTGAAACACTTGATAGAACTCGTTTATTTTTGTTCTCTAGCCTCTCTCCATTTGTTTCTTTTTTATGTTTGTAGCTCGCCATAATTCAGGTTTTGTTTTATTGATTTGGAAGACGGAAAGGTCTTGTCTTTCAGGTAATTGTCCCTTATTGTCATTAGTAACAGAGACACAGCGCCTAAACATTTACTTACCCTTTGGGGGCTATGTAAGATAGTATGATAATCATCAAGGGATTTATTTGCTTTGGACTTCTTTTGCTTCACCTGAATATAGTGTCCTCCTTACACCAAGGCCTGACTGGTCTCTTTGTTCTACTCCCCTATCCTGTCTGGTCTAAAAAGCTGAATTTCGATTTGGCTTCAACCTGCTTTGAAACTACTGGTGGAAAGGTTGTGATTTTCCCAAACAGGTGCAATTACAATACCCATTATTGGGATGGGGTGACAGTTGAAGTGCAGTATGTCTAAAGGTTGCCAAGTAGATAAAAGCTTTGATCAGATATGCAGTCCATGTCATTTTTCCTGTGTTTGGGGTTTTAGAGGAACATGTGCCTTTTCGGAATGAAAAATTGTAGCTAATCATAGTTTTACTTTTCCTAAGAGATTTTCTGGTTATTTCTAGCTTCTGTCGATTAGTAGATTTTTAAAAATCCTTCTGTTTTTAAAAAAAGTCTTCAGTATGCACATACAAATACATGCTTTACCGAGACTGCCTTCTTGATAAGGAGAAAGTATTCCTACTCTGCTGTGTTAGCACAAGCTCTCATCTTCTATGGCTTGTGTTGAGGCTGTTCCAGTATATACAAGATAGGTCAGGGTAGATTGTTGCTGTTGTTGCAGGCTTGAGAAGGAGTATATGAGTGTTAGTCTTGCCTGATACTTGATTTTTTAATTTGGTGGTAAAGAAAAAGTCAACATACTTCAGGCTTTGGTAAGTGTTGGGTGTGTTCTTAGTAGAGAGAAATGTGATGCTTTATTGTTAAGGTTGTTATGGATTCTTAAACAAGATACATTTCCAACGGTCAGGTGGTCAAGAAGAAGAATCTTCAGAAATCTGGAGAACCTCTTCCTAGGGAGGAGAGTTTGTAAGGACCCATTATTGAGCAACATGCCTGGAGGCATTCAGTGGATGCTCTGGGCCTCATCTTGTGCTACATGGGCCTAGCGAACTATGCAATTAAAAATTAAAGCATGGGAGAAAAGGGGGGGGGACAGTGAGAACCAACCCAGTCATTCTATGGCAAAAATGAACGCTTATGTTCTCCTGCTATTAATGAAGTGTAACAGCCTGATTTCCTCTCAGAACATCTACATTTAAGAGGATTTTGATAACTAGGCTGAGAAACATTTCAACAAAGTTTTTGGGATCTGCTTGTTGGAATAGATATGGTATTAGATGAGGTTTTTAAATGCAATCACTGTGGCTAATAGAAGGCAGATGTTACTGGTGGCTCATACCAATCATTCCTTTTCGGAAAAAAGGGAAGATCGTAATAAATTCAAGAATGGGAGAGGCTTCTGGTTATCTTGCTTGTATTCCCAATACGTTTCCCTCTCTATCAGATAAACTGATAAAACAGTGCATCTAATATTTTCAAATTGCCCATCTACAAGATACACGGACATATTTAATTAAAACCTGCTTGCATAATGGGATGATTCTGGGGTTTTTTGGCATCTGGCGGTGATATTCAACCATGAGCTCCTCAAGGGCAGAGATCAAAGTAGCAGTGAAAATCTTAGGGGCTTCCCCAACATGTTTCATATTTTCAACTACCTGTTCCCCATCCTAAGTGTCAGATGCTGATATGATTTGTTCTCACCTCAAGTAGAATTATATGGGGTGTTAGTGGTTTTTGGAGACCTGATTGTTGTTTAACCAAAGAGCCTAAACGAAAGCTCAAAATCCAGTCCTAAGATTCTAGACTTCAGTCGTAGGCTTCTCTTCTCAACCTGTATGCCTTCCTCACTGTTCTTCCCCAGCAACTGGAATTCACAGATCTCTTATCTCCTGTTTTCATAAAACTGTTCTGGCTAGTGCCTAGCCTATTAGTGCTTTCATGGTAGGCTTTTATTTTGCAGTTGCCTTACTTCTGGTCAAAAATGTTTTCATCTCCTGCTCTTAACTTTTCTCTGTTTCCTCACTTTTTCTGCCATTTTTTTTAAAAATTCCACATTAAAAGGGGTAGGGGGAAAACTCAGAATAGCTGTGTAACATCTTTTGATTGGCAGTATAAAGAGACCTGTATCTGAAAATTTTGCAGATTCTAAGCCACAGGTGTATAACCTAATTGGGACTCTTTTGACCATGATGCAAAAAAAAACCAAAAAAAACAGTGGCATGGTTCCCTTCTATTCTGAAGTGAGAAACAGATGATATGTACAGCTTAATCGCTAAAAAAAAAAGCCATGTTACAATAAAAAGGGTCCTTGGCCTTATAAAGAAGGATGCTCCCAAATCTCAACCTTGGGATGCAACCCCAACTATCTTGAGACTCTAATGTCTCCTACTACTACTAGAATTGTGTACAGGCTGTTCTTGATTTATGACCAGAACTTCCATAGCAAAGCAATGCAGTTGTTAAGCAAGTTGTGTCCAATTTTATGACTTTTTTTTTTTTTTTGCTGTAGTCATTTATTGAATTTCATGGTTAATAAGTGAATCCAGTTTCCCCTATTTACTTTGTCGGAAGCATCTTGAGAAGGTTGCAAATGGTGATCAAATGATCCCAGGATGATGCAACCATTGTAAATACATGCCAGTTGTCAAACCTCTGAATTTTGATCACCTGACCATGGGGGTGGGGAACCCTGCAGTCTGCAGGTTGGTTGTAAGTTCCAGCTTGGTGGAGGGGGAGCTCAAAGCAAGAAAAGCTGAAACCTAATTGAATTTTTCCCCTCTATGTTGGTAAACTTATTTCGGATTTTTATCTCAATAGCTAGGTTCAGTCTTGATCAGTGGTGAAATCCAAATTTTTTTACTACCGGTTCTGTGGGCGTGGCTTGGTGGGTCTGGTGTGGCTTGGTGTGTGTGGCAAGGGAAGGATACTGCAAAATTTCCATTCCCACCCCACTCCAGGGGGAGGATACTGCAAAATCCCCATTCCCTCCCCATTCCTGGGGGAAGGATATTGCAATATCCCCATTCCACCCCACTCTGGAGCCAGCCAGAGGTGGTATTTGCCGATTGTCTGAACTACTCAAAATTTCCACTACCAGTTCTCCAGAACCTGTCAGAACCCGCTGGATTTCACTCCTGGTTTCCTGCCTCAGCAGGGGGTTGGACTAGAAGACGTCCAAGGTCCCTTCCAACTCTGTTATTCTATTCTATTCTAAAAGGGACTTCTAAATAGGAATGCATTGGATGGTGCTGCTAGCTTTGTAATATGCTGGGAGAAGGGAGACTTCTGCTTCTCTTGTTCCTTCGGTGGAAAGGTTGGAAAAGGCTCGCATAATTTTGTTTTTCTTGATGTGAGTTAGCTCTGGAGGAACCCTGTCATCCTCTTCATGCCTACTTGAAGGAAATTCAAGAAGTGTTGCAGTGTCTTTGGCTCTTGCTTCATCCTAGTCTTTCCCATGCATATGTTGGCTGCAATTGCTTCATCAAGTTTACTCCTCTTCTCCAGCAGTCCCAGAATGGGCCCAAGCAAACAGCTTCCTGTGCTTGCAGTCTGGTTGGGTAAAGAAAGCAAAAGAAGATATATCCAATCCAGGAATGGGAAACTCACAGACCTTCTGAAGTTTCTGGACTCTATCATAAGCTATTAAAAGTATAGGAACTCCTCCCCTTGTATCTCTTCCTTAAATCAGAAAATAATCTCACTGCATACCATTAGCCCATCCATATGTTCAGACAAAGTAATCTTCATCTGATGCTAGACCATCGGCAGAGAGAAGAAGAAGAGGAGGAGGAGGAGGAGGAGGAGGAGGAGGAGGAGGAGGAGGAGGAGAAGAAGAAGAAGAAGAGGAAGAGGAAGAGGAAGAGGAAGAGGAAGAGGAAGAAAGGATGACCGTTGAATAGCATGTCATTTTCACTCCAGATTTCTTGTTTATAATTTATAAACCGGAACAGGGATCCTTAGAATAATAGATGTTGCATGGAGAATTTCACCCAGGCACTTAAGGAAAGGGTTGCTGTTTAGTGATAGAGTACCTGCTTTGAATG